TATTAAGGAAGGAGCCCATTTTTTTTGTTGACGGTGGAAAATGCATTTACGCACCATACCGCGCGCTTACCAGGCGCGCGATGTGTGTGGGACTCCCCGGCGCGGAACAACGCCGGCCCTACCCTCTAAAAACCGAGGGCCGAGGAGGGTTCCTCGGCCCTTATGAGGGCTCTCTGGGATCGGCGCACCTACATGTGCCACTACACCAGAGCGCAGGTAGGTAGCCCTAGGAGCACTGGCAGCAGAAAGGTTGCCCAGGTAGTATGGGTAGGTTAGGTCTTCAAAAATCCTTTTTTGTAAAAGGACAACTGTAATCTTGCTGTTAATAGAATGAAAAGATACTTTTTCTTTGATTTGGCATTTAAACAATTTCACTTTTGCAATTATTTTGATCTCTATAGTTACAGTTTCAGCGCTATCGAATGTTGAGTGGTGCGGGTTATAGCATAATTGTTTAAAATATTCAAGTAGTGTACCGTGTTAACTGCATTTATTAGATTATAAGTGTCGCCGCACACGGGACACACGCCACAGCCACAAACTCCGCCACGAGAAGCTAGAAGCGGCTACTTAAGTGGCTGAAGCGCGCGACAGCGGCCGACTAAGGTAAGGGAGAGAGGGGTGGGGAATCGCGCGAGTGACGTGTGGCGGCGTTTAGTATCGGCGCATTAAGTGGCCGGTGCGGGCCACAAGAAGCGAGCAATGACGATTTGTAGCGTGTGACAGCCACCGGCGTACCGCGTGTGGCGAGTCCATATAAAATGTATGAAAACTACAAGAATTATGCCGGTGGCGGCGTTTTGTGGTTGTGGTCGGTTGCCTGTGAGCGGCGACACTAAACTGTTGATTGGCGTTGTTTACTACAATTTAATCAAATATGATATTATAGATAATGACTACTTACGTCAAATTTAAAAAGACTAAGTTGGTCGGATTTTGCTATTTATGGTGACGGAGAAAGAATACAATTCACCGCCCTTTTCTTCTTTCCGTGGGTGTTGCAAGAAGCTACTAATGCAACACGGAGCTTTCATCCGCTCTACTGATGGTAGAGCGCTTACCGCCCGCCTTTTTTTTATTTCCTCCGAAGGCAGACAAGCGGACGGGCCATGATGTTAAATGGTCATTGTCGCCCATGGACGAATGGAAAGAAAAAAAAGTTAACGGGGACATTTTATATGAAGGACTTAAAGTTTTGAATTCGAATCTATCTTTCAGTGAAATAACAGAGTGGTTTTAAATTTTTGAGAAAAAAATCTTTTCTTTTTTATTTTATATAGGTACCTAATGATAAAATAAGAATCATGGAAATCGATTTCAGATACACTTATGCGCTAACCACAATAAAACGATAAACGATGTTCAAATATCTAAAGAAAGTTTTACTAATTCCCCGCGTGCAATTTTTTCTAGTAAAATTTTCTGTAGATTTAACCATCTATCAGTTAAATGCTTAAAAAATAAAAAAGCGAGTGTGCTTATGACCACACGACTGAAGTGAAATTATTTAGCTCCAATGATCTGAAAATCAGAAACTTAACCTGAAGATTTGTTCATAGAAAAAAAATACCCTTATCACCCTCCAATCCGCACTGGGTCTATTGTCACTCACCAATCCGCACTGGGTCCATTGTCACCGACCGGTCCGTCATCACCCACCAATCCGCACTGGGTCCGTTATCATCCACCAATCCGCACTGCATTCGTTATCACCCACCAATCCGCACTGGGTCCGTTATCATCCACCAATCCGCACTGGGTCCGTTATCACCCTCCAATCCGCACTGGGTCAATTATCACCCACCAATCCGCGCTGGGCCCGTTATCACCCACCAATCCGCGCTGGGTCCGTCATCACCCACCAAGCACTAGATTTATGTATTTTGTGACGGGTTTTGTTCATTGTTTACTGATGAGTCACCGGTGCGCTCGTAATGCTAAAATCGTAACACATTCGCCAGTTTACCCCCCAAGTCAAGCGTGCCTAAAGAAGTTTTACTTCAAAAATATATCTATAATTGCCATTTCTTCTTTCAAATGTTTAATCCTTGTAAAGGTAGGTACTCATTTGATATTATGGGTTACCTACAATGCGAAGAGATGGCGCTGCCTTGCAGCTTAAGAAGGGCTAGAGAAAAATTCGTCACGGCCGTCACGGCCGCGGTAGCATAATGGTCAGTGTATTCGCCCAGGTTCAAGTCCCGTCTGCTGCCTGGTCCGCGTAGATTTTTTTCTAGTAAAATTTTCTTACTATGTTTACAGTTACAGCAGGATTGGTTTTTACGGTCGATATCGGTTGATCTTACTGCAGGAATAATTTTGCGACAGTAAGAGGTAAGCTCATTATAATTTAATGGTTATAACTTTTAAGTAGGTAGGTAGGTTTTGTACCTTAAATTGGTAGGCAAAGGAACAGCAACAAAATGATGTAGGTATATTGACGTGACAACGATAACTACCAGTTTTTTTAACGATATGAAATAACGTTACTTTTGTAATACTTTATCGGTAAGTATTATTTTCGTAACGTTAATTATCGGCACTGGTAACGATATTAATTGTATCTAAATAACAATTCCAAAAAAAGGCGGATGGTTTACTACTCGCTTCTAAATGTGTCTAAGCAATTAACAATTTTGATACATCAAAACACTAAGAGAAAATAACGCCGTAGAAGTAAATGATATCTTAAAAAATATTATTATTATTAACGTTACTTTTAATGTTAGTATTTATTTCGGTTAACTAAGAGTTAACGTTAAAAGAATCGTTCTGCTAATAAATTGAAATTACCGTTTAAATTAATGTTATAAGATTACGGTGACGTTGTTACCTGTTAACCGGTAAAAAAACCGGTATTGAAATTAACAAAATTAAATAACCTTATTTATGGATAATGTGAATTGGTAGCGAACGACACCTTATCACGTAAAATTAATGACCGTAAACCGAGTTTACAGGCAACCAATTTTGTCAGATAGAAGTTCAGTCATTCAGTACGTTACAAAAAAAATATCTGTTCATAGAGCATAGCGAAAAAAAACTGTTCTTTTTTTTAATAAAACTCAACTTTTTAAGTATATTAGAATAAGAACTAAAACATAGAATGAGTTAATTTTTTAGTAGCTAGTAAGATAAAAGTATTTTATCGATATCGATTGGTCTAAAATATTCTAATCAATTAGTAGCTACTTTTCCTTTACCGGTTATAACTAAACAAATATATTGATTACACTGGCACACTAAACGAATGAAGTTTTCCACTCGCTCCTTGACTATATATATGTACATATACTACACTTACGCATCCATCAACCACCAGGGGAGATAGAAGAAGGTATGGGGGACTCCTTCCTGCTCACTTCAGCCAACCTTTGGGCCGGATGAAATGAGCAAGGCCTACGTAATGCTCTGAACAGGGCCACTAAAAACACGGTCCGCATTGCTAGGACCGCGGTCCCCACAATGCGGGTCGGGAGTGTGGGTGGTGATGGGGCACCATTATCCACTAACCCCGCTCACGCAAGGTGATTGTCCGTTTCCGGACCGGACGGACCACCACGGAAGGGCATCGCTAGGCACTGTGTCCTAGGCACCGGTAACAGTGCACTAGGAGAGGAGTCAGGACCCTCACCATCGTGATGCTCCACCCCACCTTCATCCTCGGCTCTTGGCAACCTTCTTGGCAGCCCTCACAGGGCACTGGTACTCTGGCGAACCTGCCCCCCTGGTCCGGGGCGGATCTCTCCGGCTGTCACTTTGTTGGTGGCGCAGCCCCCTTGGTCGCCATCACCTCCACGAGCTCCGACATGGTGACGGTCTCGTCCAGGCCGGAGATCCGCAGGTCCATTGTATTATCCGGCCTATTTAACTCCATATATTCGTCTAGGACGTCCACTATTTTCTGGAAGAGCCTGTCTGCCTTCGCGTTGCTATACGGCCCCGGACCCAGAATAAGTCTGGCACCGGTCTTACTCTCCCGAATGTCCAGGCCTCCGGGATCCCCACTGATTGTAAAGAGATGGCCGCCTTCGCCATCTCCACAATGTTCACATATTCGAAGCCCAGCTCCACCGCCCTTGGCTTCAACTTAAGTGCTATGGTCGCCGTGCTCGGCTCCCTAAGCTGTGGCCCCTTCTTCGCTTTCGGTTCTGCCCTCTTTTGGTCCTTCCGACCCTCCAGCTTTTTCATTTTCTTACCTTGTCCGGGCTGCCCAGCAGGTTGCACCATAGGCGTAGGTGCAGGTGTGGATGCAGCCGGGAGCTTTTTGGGCGTCTTCTGCCCGTGGTGGACAACCGTGCTCCACGTTATCTCAGGCCGTTCTTCGTTCCGGTGTCGGCTGACATGGGCGGCCTCGTCCGTTCCGAATTGAGAAGCATCTCTTCAAGTCTCTCCTCAAATGAGGATTATTGAGCGCCAACCATATGGCTCATGGTTGTCATGAGCATGCCTTTCAGCTGCTCAGTGTCCTCATACGTGTCCCAGGTTTCGGTGCCGGCTGGTCCTGGCCCTCTCTCTTGAAACTCTCTCGGGAGAGCACTTGCCGCTGGTTATAGATGGCAGGATCTTAGTGTTAATTGTGTCACCATATTGAGCTATATTTAAATAAATAATTATTGCTAAGAAAGGCACCATTATGTTATATAATTTAAATTTGACAGCAGTATTTACAGAGTGAAAAGGAACGACTGATGTTAAATTTAGTTTTAAATTTCGAGAATCACGTCAGAATCAATACCAAAGTTCATTACTAAAACAGAGTGATGTTAGATGGCGAATAATATTTTAACATATTCGTATAAAAAAGCGCGAAAAAGTAGTTTACATTTATTTTTTCAAGACAGTGAATTATCTCTACCAACTTGGAAAAATCTGGTAGATTATAATGTATTTCGTTATCAAAAACGTCGTTTTACTTTTGCATGCCCCTCCCTAAGTCAGTCCATAGACAACGCAATATCTGTGGCCGCCGACCTTTCATCAACTACTTCCGGCTGTCATCTGGCTCTGGCTCTCTGCTGACGTCTGACGTAAAGCAAAGCGAAAGCCGCTGATGCGGTGCTTTGTTTGTGAATTTAGTACACTTTATCAACATAAATAATGTTATCATTTCGCTACTAGCGTCGAGCTCAGGCGAGCGTTGTGCATTGAGAAAAAATTACGAAGTGTTTTTGTGACAATAAGATGCCTTTTGTTAACATAAAGAAGCAATACTTAGCATTCGGGATGCTGATATTCGTATTGTTATTTTTCTTCAATAGCAAACCAGCTTTTCAATGCCAGTTCAATCCAGAAGTGTCTGTTTATCTCCCAACTATTTATGGTATTACTCCGACGTACTCAAGACTTGCACAAAAAGCGGATCTTACAAGGTAATATCGTGATATATCTGCCCTTGATAACATTGATTAACTTACCTCATCTCTGGCTAACGGAGAATTTGGCAATGGTTCTTGCTTCCACGTAATTAATTAACAGAAGTTGTCTTTGATAACATGATGGTGAACAAAATATAGTAATAAATTTCATTCATTATGACATATTTTTTATGTAATCATAAAAGGATTTTTTATGTTATCATAAAAGGCTGCAACAACAATTATCAAACATAAAACATACACTTTATAGTTATTAAAACCTCAGTGTTTTTTTCTAATTTAATTCTTCTTTTAGATTATCACAAACGCTGATGCTTGTGAAGAACTTTCACTGGATTGTTATTGAGGACGCTGACACTAAGACTAAGCTAGTAGAGAACCTACTGAAGGAATCCACATTAAAGTATACACATCTGAATATAAAAACAGCTAAAGTCAAACATTCATCGGTAAGTTGTGAAATGAATTTGATCAATCACGGTTCATAGTATATAATAATTTCTGCTCGGTTCATAGTTTTAAAGTTATTAGTCCAAAGTTAAAGTTAAGGATAATGGCTTTTCTATTTTTTATTTACAGTATTAAAATAACATAACGAAATTGTAAGTGATATTTAATTTATCAAATTTAACTTTCAACCTTTAATTAAAGTGACATAAAAGTAATCAACTGTTTATTATTTAAATTATCTGACATATGCTATAGTTAAAAATATATTATTATACTATTTATATTTGTATCTTAATACAATGCATACATATTAGATATCAGTTACTGCATACTCATAATAGAGTCATCTCTAGACTTATTGTAAATTTTGAAAAGCTTCATATTTTTTATAGCAATGAACACAATACTAAACTATTTCAGGTGATGGATATAAACATATGTGTGTTCAAAACAAGTACATACAACACATCTTGGTATTGTGTATGGTCAACTTATTTTATTTTTTCTAAATAACATTTGTTTTGTGATTAAAATTTAACCGGCTGCAAACCAACATACAGCAGTAAATACCTTGTGTAATTGAGGTGCCTAGCCAAGTTTTATTTTCAGCTGGATAACATAACATCACCCATGTGGTTTAGAATGTAAAATTTTTTTTTGGTTCACATGGAAGTTTTCTGTAATTATTATTACTGCACTTCTGAAGTTACATTTTAATTAGTAATTTGAGCTTAGCAATTATTTTTTCAAAGTGTTCATAGTATTTCTTGATTAGTATTTTTGTTTAACATAATAACTGCCCATGCCAAAAAAGAAATAATGCTGATTTCTTTTCAATCAATACTAATGATATGAATGTAAAGGTAACAATGTGTAACCTATATGATTTCACTTAACAGCTCATACCAATTTTGACAAATTTACAATCTTTTACTTTATTATAAACTGTTATTTTCGCATCAAAATTAGGCCACTTTCCATCTCTACACTTACCACATGTAGAGATGGAAAGTGGCCTAATTTTGATGCTAAAATAACAGTTTATAATAAAGTTAAAGATTGTAAATTTGTGCACACGACGAGCAACAAACAGTCACTATAGTCCGGCCGCTCAGAGATTGCGTTTCTGACAGGTCATGTCAGTTCCTTATGGTGATAGCATTAGAGTTAATTTTCGAACTTCCGTTTTTATTAGATCTAAAGTGTACTTTATTCTGTCACCATAAGGAACTGACACAACCTGTCAGAAATGCAATCTCTGAGCGGCCGGACTATAATCTCTAAATTCACACTCACATTAACTGTGTTTTTGTTATGATGTATTTATTAATGTGTTATTAATGTGCAGCAATATTTTTATTTAATTTACAATAATACTGTAATAACTGGTTTTTATTTTTCTAATAACACTCACATACTTAAATAAAATAAAGTACAGTAATTATGATAACTTGATAACAAAGGGCTATGATAGTTCAGTGACTATAATTGTAGTGACATGATGCAGAATATTTATCCCTCATTATCAAGATCTCCATCTTAATAATGGTGGATGAATGGAAAAGTCATTAAATTTAGGCATTTAACTTATAAATGGCAAACAATATTTTCTGTCAAAGCAAGTACAAAAGGATTAAAAGACATTCTAGTAAATGGAGAAAAATTAATGGTCGACTGCTAGAGAATGCTATTAGCATTAAGTCTGCCTTTTGTACCATTCTTGTGTATTTTCGGTCAAGAAAGTTTGAAATAATTAAATTAACATAACATAATCTGCACTTACTTTGGTATGTAGATGATAATTATATTACCTTTTTAATTATTTTTATTCCATTTCAGGCTAGTGGTGTTGAGCAAAGGAATTATGCTCTGGACTGGTTGCGGCAGCATTTAAAAGAGACTGACAACAAAAGAGGTGTAGTGTACTTCATGGATGATGACAATACATACTCGTTGAAGGTGTTTGATGAGGTAAACATTGTAACTTCTAATATAACATTTATTAATATTTTGGTAACAATTCTTTTTTTCTATATAATTATTGTGCAATCAGTCTTCTTAACTATGAGCAGATTTATTATTGAGGATATTGTGTCTGGTGCTTAGTCCTAGTAGAACGGACGGCTGTTTCCGCAACTCGACACCCAGTGTGGGGATTGGCATCAGTCCTGCTATCCCAGCTCCTCCAGAAAGCTCAGCAGTCCCCGGATGTTGCTGCAGGCTTCTACTAGTGTCCGCGGGCTTCCCATTACAGAAGTCGTTTGTCTTACAACGCCTCTGCACTCCAGCAGAACATGGGCGCTCGTCTCCTCCTTCTCCAGGCAGGCTCTGCACAGAGGGCTGTCAGAAATGCCTATATTACAAAGGTGTTTGTTGAAGTAGCCATGACCCGTGAGTATACCCACGATTTGTTTTAGGGCTTGTCTAGGTAGTCTGATTGACTTACGTGATAGCTGCAGGTTTATATGAGGAACGGCTTCACTAGCTTGCCTGCAGTCAGTGAGTTTTGCCCAATATTCGTCGTGTTGTCGTTGACAGCGCTCCCTTATCCAAGTTCTCAGCTGTCGATAGGGTATGGGTACAATTGGCTCGGGGCCAACGGCCGTCTTGCTGGACCCTTCCCTAGCTAAGCAGTCCGCCGCATCGTTGCCCCTTGAGCCGCTGTGTCCTTTAATCCATTGTAGGGTCAGTCTATTGTCATTACAAATATTGGATAACTTACAGTGGCATTCATAAATTAAGCCTGATGTCATTATATTGTTCAGTGTCTGTAGGTCAGAAGCGATGTGAGAGAGAATACGAATATGTTTCCCTCTTACCCCGCGACAGTCTAACGCCTCTGCGGCTCTAATGATGCCCACACACTCTGCCCGGAAGACCGTGTTATAGGCTCCCAATCCTGTTGAGATGTGTATATTTTGGTAGGTGTAGATCCTTAGCTCCTCCAGTCTGGTGCTCCATAAAGCGTTCAACTCCTCTATAAACTAGCCAAAGCTAGGTTCTCCAAGTCATCAATGTAATTTGCGTCTTTTCAGACGTCTTGCAGTATTCCGCAATGTCAATTGCTTGGCCAGTGTATTTTCAGGTGATCATCTCGTCTAGTTTTGGTAACAAAATAGGTACCTATAATTATATTTTTAACAAAACATACAGCCAACTATTTGTCTTTGAAATAAAAATTGCACGTTGAAATAAAAATTGCAGTTCCTACTGCAATATACCTACATATTGCTCTCAGTGCATAGCAAATGCAATAGAAGAATTACCAGTGTACTCATTGTATGTATTCATAATTTGCTATATTTAACCCATCGTCTGTGTAAGTGAACGTGTCTGCCACAAGTTGAGAAAAAATATTTTCATATTTCTCATTTTATCATATATAGTAAGTAATGATTTTTTATTTATATAAGTTTGTAGAGAGACTATTCAGGATTGATTTAAGACATAAATGAATATAATGCCTGGGCGCACAGTAGAACTCGATTAATAATAGGAAAATCGATCAGATATCTTTTTAATTTTCCGGCCGTCAAAAACAAAGTAAATGGCTACACAGCCGAGGGGTTAATGCCATTTTACAAAACTGTTTAAGCTGAAAGAATTACTTAGGTGCTTTGCCTCAGTAGTATTCCGGTGCTAGTGGTTTACACCTCGATAATACTGCAAATACTATGGGGATTGTATTTAGTTATTGTTATTTGTTAAATGATTACGGTTATTTATTATATGGGTGATAAATACATCACGTATGAGCGTTAATGTAAGATTCTTTACTTAGAATTTGCAGTAGGTTACATGAGTATAAACTGTTGGTTATGTATCTTATTCACCCGCATTGTTTATGGATTTAAGTAAATTTGGAATGCAGATGTCAAGGTAAGCTTTTGTATATATTTTTCATTATCCACATGTTGAGTGAGAAGATTTTATATGAAGGTTTGGGACACCTTAGAAGAAAACGGGGTTTTCCATATTATATGCATGATGATGATTATACGTTTTCATAATTAATAAATTACTAGTGACCCGCCCTCGCTTCGCTTCGGTGTAGAGCTGTAGTGTGGACTAAAATGCCTTTTCATATAATTATAAAAAAAAGAAAATGGTATATTTGCCTTTTCCAAACTTCTATTGACATCACGTCACTCAATTGTTTTGCCTTCCCGGAACCTCTCCACTAACATTTGAAATTTATGGTATGGTATTAAAGTTCAAATTAACTTTTAAGTATTATTACGAATCGTTTGTATGGGACTACAGAAAATTGTTGTTTTTGGACTTTTTTTAATTTTTCTCTGCGTAAGAACCATCCTCGTACTTCAAGGAATATTCTTAAAAAAAGAATTATCGAAATCGCTTCAGCTGTTCTCGAGATTTGCGCTTAGCAACACATTCAGCGATTCATTTTTATATTATAGATATTGCCCAAAACATTATTTACACTTAGTAAGTAACTAAGTTTATTAATGGCTAATTAATAAGGCAACCCGTCATTTTGATAAGCATTCAATTTAATTGACTTCTATGAGTGCGATCGCCATTCATCAAATACAGGGAAACAAAGTGATGTTTATGTTTTCAAATACCTACATTTTTATGTTACATAAAAATCTCAGTTCTACGATAAAAATAATAAAAATGAATGCTATTTTTGTTATTTATTCTTCTGATAGCTGTTATTACAATCAGAATGTCAATGCAATCAGTTTACAAATGATTCTTTATTTGTTTATTTACATAATTGTTTGACAAACAATAAACAAAAGAATATTGATGTAATTAACAAATAAAATAACTCACTTGTTTCGTTTTTGTTATTATTATGACATGATTGTTATTTGAATACACTTCGTAACGTAACTTCGCGTCAACGTTAAAAAATCTTAATTTATATTATGATGCATTCACAAATATTTAGAAATGAACATGGTCAGGGATGAAATTCAAAATAAAGTACCAAGCCAGGTTGGAAACCCGAACGAACTGCCAACTTAAGAAGCCGAAGCTATTTTAAACACCTTTAACGGAAAGCTATCTGGGGGCCATTCGCCTAACGGAAATGCTATGGAAAACGCTAACGCTTTCGATTTTATTTTGTTATTTCTGACCGCCGAAGGTTTTCAAATACCTCACGCTCATTTTTTTAAATATTTTGTTATTAATAATGCAAGAGAAAAAAAAGAGCCCGAGGTATTTTCCAAGTTAGGCGATTGGCCCCCTGGGGACCATTCGCCTAACGGAAATGCTTTGGAAAACGCTAACGCTTACGATTTAATATTGTTATTTCTAGCCGCCTGAGGTTTTCGAATACCTCACGCTCATTTTTTTTAATATTGTTATTACCAATGCAAATCGTAAGCGTTAGCGTTTTCCTAAGCATTTCCGTTAGGCGATTGGCCCCCAGGTCTCTTTAGGGGCTACAAGTAGATGCTCTCACTGGAACGCATAGTTATTGTATGAAAAAAACACCATATTCAAAGCATTTGCTTATAGCTAGGAGCTGATTGCAAATAAATCTCAAAGAGAAAAAAAAAGATGCATTAACATCTTTTGAATATTCATTTTTATAGCTGTATCGTATCTTTTACGGGGTGGCGGAGTTTCAAAGATGATGAAGATGAAGATATACACAATAAACATCAAAACCATGACGACTAACGTATTAATCACAGCAATAAAAACAAGAAAGTTAGGGCATAGAGACTTCGTCTGGAGTACCAACTTCTCATAATCATATCAGTCATACGACACCCACTGCTGAGTATAGGCCTCCTCTAAGGATCTCCGCATCCGGTCCTGCGCCACTCGCACCATCGGCTTCCCGCGGTCTTCGTCAGATCATCGGTCCCCCATTTGGAGGTGATCTGCCCACCTTTCAGTCCCAACAAGGGTTGCCAGATTCTAGCTTATAAATTCCCCGGAAAATAAAGCATCAAATCAAACCCCCCGTCGCCCCCCAGAATTAAAACATCAAGCAGGCCAATCCTGGATTTCCCGGCCATCTAGCAAGCCTAGTCCCAACGGCCATCAGTTCTCCTCGCTACGTGTCCCGCCCGCTGCCTTCAGCTGAGCAATTCTTCAAGCGATATCGGCTATTTTAGTTCTCCTGAGGATTTCCTCATTTCTGATTCTATCACGCAGGAAAATACCGAGCATCGCTCCTTCTATTGCCCGCTATACCAACTTCTACACACCACAAAATACCACTGTAAGGTTTCTAGGACTCCACAGGTACTTGTCTCAGGCCGGCTAGATGGGGATGGCTGAAGCTAAGATCTAAATGTAGGTAATAGTTTCAAGCTATACATATGATTAATTCATACTTATTTTTTGCACATTAACGATAAGATATGGAAAATAGCTGTTAATACTATTTTCCAGTTATTCATGGCATATAAAATACATTTCGCCATGGTCTATGGTTTCTGAGCTTGATAAGGACCATTTATAGACATTTTATTGCAATTTTATAGCTACAATACTTCGTACGAATGTATTATTAGATAAATACGACCTTGACACAGCATTTCGATATACGCGGACGGTTACTGGCACTAAGTAACCTTCGCCACTAATTTGCGATGTGTCATCACCTATCTATATACTTAATTAATTTAGGAAGTCTAGTAAAAATGAATGAAGTTTATATGTATATAGTACCTATCTACTTGCTTACTCACTCTACCATACCTGATAAAGAGATAGTAATGGACGTAAGTGAATTTATAGTAACCTCTACCTTCGACCCACTGCTAAAACTTACCGTTGGTGATGTTGTGTTTCTGTAGGCGATTAAAGGACATAGCGCATCTGAACCACCCGGCACCCGACCAGCACCACGTCGGCGCACGCGGTTGATATACTTTGTATGGGCACGGAAATAATATATGGGTTTCTATGGGCATGCGCTCACTCCACCAACTCTGATACCGCCTCGCCTCGCTCCTACCTACGCGCTCTGTCTCGCTCGCTCGTATGGCGGGCGAGACAGAGCGCGCGACCTGACCCGTGGCCCGCCCGACGTAAGCTGGTTGACAGCGCGGGCGTCTACGAAAGGTCGGCGCGCGGTGTTGGTCGGGTGCCGGCTGTAAAATGTAAAATATCTTTTAAATATATCTAATTTTTGTGTAAACTACTGTAGTCCCTATCACACGGTATTTGCCAATGCGTGACAGCAATATTTTTTTCAAATACAATAGTTGTAAGGCACCACCATCTCTTTGTAATTTTCGAGTTTAATCTAATTTGGATATCCTTCAATATACTGACGAACACAGGATGATACTGTCAAGAAGATAAATTAGTAATAATATCCTTCTGCTAAACCTTATTTGCTAGTCAAAGTTTTGGAAATCTAAAGAAAATTTCATGAGACAGGAACGCGTAGATTTTTTAGTAAAATTTGCTTTAAATTTATAAATCTATCAGTTTAAACGTTGTTTGTTTTATATCTAGAGATATAGAGTTATCGCAAAGATATCTCTGATTTTTCTGAGTCCGTCATGTCTCTCCCATATTTGTGCGCGAAGCTTTAGTACTTAATGGCGCTAAAATAAGCGTAAAAAAATTGTGTAAAATCTATTCTATTGCAACGAATAGGGGTGATGACGGGGTACAGTAAACGAAATTCTATTAAGTCCGTCAGTTAGATGATCATAAAATAATGGACACGTATTTTTTCTTTGGGCAATCAACCAAAAAATGACAAAGTTATAGCGCGTCAAAGTTTGGGAGTAGGGCACTTTTGAGTGAATTTTCCCTTATAAGTGTACTCAAACGTGACGTGATGCGACTTTTCAAATCAATATATCTCTGCAATGTTTATATTAAGTGAAAAAAGAAAAAATACGTGTCCAATACTTTTTGATAATCTACCTGATAAACGAAGAAAAAAAAATTAGTCATCATCCCTATTATCCAGCTGCGGTACGATAGACTCTAGACGAGAGCTTGGCTGGCGATTTTTGACGATGGCGATCTTATAAGAGGTTGTGGTATACGATAAATTTGAATGTACAGCTGAAGGATCAAAAAACTTCGAGCGACATCTTGTACCAAAGCTTTATCGCGCAGGTGTGGGAGTTAAGAGGGGAGGCGTGCAATGTTTTCTTTATACAAACGTTCTCAACTGATTCCTCCTTGATTTTAACCACTACAGAATTGATTTTCATACATAAAATATATTTTTACTCATTGTATGCTCCTATGAGTTCCTTTTTCTATAACTTGTGTTTCAAATAAACTAGAAGCCCTCGAAAAGGCCAAAAATTACCAAATTTTTATCACCACTAAAGACGTCTAGTGTAGAGATTTAATAAGCATTAACAAAAAAATCGAAACATAGAGGCATAGTTTAACTAATTATTATTATTTGTGTAACATTTTTTTTACATATATCTAATTTTCGAGGAGGAAATCGTCGAGAGTGAAATCTCAAATTTCGCAATTTTTGTATGCAACTTTCAGCGTTAACTACTGTTGTCCCTATCGCACTGTATTTGCCAATGTGTGACAGCAATAGTTTTTTCAAATACCTATTTATCAAATGTCTCTCAGCTCGCGTCCGCTCTTAAAGTGTGACTTACTTTTGAACTACAGATGCGTAAAATCAACAAAGTCGGCGTGTGGCCAGTAGGCATCGTGGGTGGAATGCGAGTCGAGATGCCACTGGTGAAAGACGGCAAGGTGTCCGGCTATAACGCGGTGTGGAAGCCATTCAGACCATTCCCTATAGACATGGCCGGGTTTGCCATCAACGCCACTCTGTTCTTGGACAAACCATCAGCCAAGTTCTCGAGGAAAGTGCAGTCGGGATTTCAGGTAAGCTTACGTAGAAAACGATTCAAAATAACCACACAGCGTGGCCACTGGACACCGAATTATTGTAATCTCACTATTTACATTATAAGGGCGAAAGTTTTTAAGTGTGTTTGTTTGTTACTTCTTCGCGTCTAAATGGCTGGAGCGATTTTAATAAATTTTGGTATGGAGGTAGCTGACACACACCTGGGTTAACACATAGGTTACGTTTCACTGTGGGAAAATGTCCCTAATAAACCGAGGGTAACACCGCGGTACCATACCGCGGCGGTAATATTTATTTCTCACTAGCGGCCCGCCCTCGCTTCGCTTCGGTGTAGAGCTGAAGTGTAGACTACAGTTTTTGTTCTCAGGCTTGTAATTCATTCATCTATGATTCTTCTTATACCTACATGCAAAGTCTCAGCCCGATCGGATTAAAATTGACAAAGTTTCATTCCCTATTTTATCCCCTTGGGGGTAGAATTGATCAAAATCCTTTCTTAGCGGATGCCTACGTTATAACATCTACCTGCATGCCAAATTTCAGCCCGATCCGTCCAGTGGTTTGGGCTGTGCGTTGATAGATCACTAAGTCAGTCAGTCATCTTTGAGTTTTATATATATAGATAGGACTTTTTCATTGGTTCAGTTCATTGTCCAATATTGGAACGAGCGACATTGATAAGCACCAATACGGACATACCTACTTGCACATTTCGATAAAGTATTATCATTTAACTTTTACTCCGTGGTTCTCGGACACGATTTTATCGCATCCTGCAATTTCGGGACCGATTTAGGTATGCTTATTTATAGTACGCCAAATTACTGGTCACGCCATGCCTTCATTATTAGCTTACAACAGGTTTGGGGGGTGGTGCGTTAAACATATTTTTTTGAACTTCACTGATACTATAGTAATTTATGTTATTAAGTGGATTGCTACCATTGTTTTTTTTTTTGAGTTTACGGCGTCACCGGGTTTGGGGACGGCGAGATCCTAAGGGGACTTGACCTCAAGCGAAGAATTGGCGAGTACCTCTAGAGGTATTCTAGGCGGATGGCATCTCTCCACGGGGGGAGTCTCCTCTCCGTCTGGAGCCTCTAGACCACTCGAACCTGAGGGGGTGGGATTGCTACCATATACCTTGTTTATTAAGAGTCTGCCAATAATATTCTTGCTGCCCTCAATTACTTTAATAACTCCTTAATAATGAAGTTCACAGAAGTGATGAAATATCAGGGAATCGTAATTAACAAGTTACCTGGTAGAAATCCTGGTATCAATACCAATACCTGGTAGTAATATTAGTTAGCATAAATAGGCTATTTGACATTTTGAAAAATAATGCACCAATTGTAAGCATCTGTATTTCATATGAATATAAGCAGAAATTTTATTATTTTGAAAGAACAAGTAATTAACAAGTTTTTTAAAAAAACATTAAATAGAAATTATTCTTTTGCTTCATGGTCACGTGACCGAAAACGTCTGTGATTGGCCAAGACTAAAATGACGTCACACACTGTGTGTGACATTGTTTTGTTTCTTGTCATTTTTAATGACAGTTGTGTGACGTCACACGCTAGTGAGAGAGTAGATAAATTGAAGGCACACACTTCCTCAAGACACACTCACATTTTATAAAACCAAATACAATCCGAATTTGAGTAAACAATTATAAACGAAGACGGAATTTACTCTTATTTCACGCTTTTTTATTTTCTTCACAGAACTTTTCTTATTTGATAAGCGCGCGGTTAGTTTTATACGTCTGTGGCTTGTTCATAACCACAAGATGATGTTCCAACCACCAAATATACCAATCACGAATATCTTGATTGGTTATTTGAACAAGAACCCCATTTCTAATTAAAATCACTTTTAGTCACTAGGAATTAAAACGTTGACATGGTGAATTCCCTTAATGGGGATACCATAGTTCCGCATTTTAAAGCTGAATAGTTTCGCATTTTAAAACTATAAACCCTCTTTTTTAGTTAGCAGGCTTTTTAGTGTATCGTATGCATTCGCGAGTAAGCCGCGCGGACTGCTTATATTTTAATGGGTTATCTGTTTTGCACCCGTGAGATTTGCGAGATGCTAGGATGAAGTACGTTTACTTGTTTAAGGGCCAGTGTGTTAATAGCTTTTTGGCTTGCGTTAACAAAAAAAAATTAAATGCTATTTTGACCCCTGTAAACAGAGAACAAACTAGCTCTTTTCGAATAGAAGTGATAAAACAAGGAGATTTGCTTTCATATATCAGTGTAGCCATATTTGGAATTTCTGTCCACTGGCAAAATAGTCCAGGGAATAGGAAGAAAGCTGTTAGACTATTCAAGGAGTTAATGTTTACCATTTGAATAAAAATGTTTTTAATTTTCAATTCAGTAGTCTGTATTTTTTACGAATTAACCCAAATACTACTGGAAGTTCCAAAAAATTTTCACCACAAGAACTTTGCTTTATTCCTTAGTAACATAGGTATTATAGATAACATATTATATAAGGAGCTGGCGAACAAAACGGTATAATTACTCATCTGGTCAAACTACTTTTTTTTTACAGTCCAGAGCCTTGGGGCCCCTTGAATTTTGAATCTCAAATAATTTTTATCTCAAATAATATTTTTTTTAACATAAACCGCATAAAACAGTGTTAAAATTACTAAATTCATAAATTAAACACTCACTGGAGGTATGTCATTCAGTTTTATACAGCTCCTGTAAAATTTAATTTTATGTAATTATACCGTTTCGAGCTGGTTGGCGCAGGTGGTTAGCGTGTTCGGCTGCGATCGTTGAAGTAAAGCAACTGTCGCAGTGGTCGGTCATTGGATGGGTGACCAAAGATTTATTATCTCGAGCTCCTCCGTGCTTCGGAAGGCACGTTAAGCCGTTGGTCCCGGCTGCATCTACAGCCGTTAGCACCCACCAATCCGCACTCGGTCCGCGTGGTGGGTCATAGCCCAATCTCCCGATTCCATCCATAGGGAAGGTCTGTGCCCCAGCAGTGGGGACATTAATAGGGTGATGATGATGATGATACCGTTTTGTTCGCCAGCTCCTCATATAACATATTTCAACCCGTGCACGAACTGGGACGACTCGCTATTATTTAATATCTTATTTCTTCTATTTACAGGAAAGTGAAATACTCAAATACTTCACGACCAAAGAAGACTTGGAGCCTTTGGCAGACAATTGTACCAAAGTCTACGTCTGGCACACTCGCACACAGAAACCTTCCATACTCAACACTAAGAAGCTCAAACATCCAATCACGCCGTACGACGAAAATATCGAAGTCTGAACGGGTACGTAACAGCTAGTCGGTTGACAAAAAAACTTATACAAACTAAACTTAGCGTTGAACGAAACGCAACGTGAAGTAAGACCATTGACAAAGAGAATAGACTGAGCATTATTTTATCTGTATGGAAATTGATTGATCTGTAGAAAGAGAAAGCGATATCGATATCGACTATTAATGGATAGAAAGTGTGAAAGATACCAAGCAATTCGGATTTATCTGACAGCTGGTTAAGGAATACTCAGTCCATTCTCTCTATGTCTACGGTAAGACTCAAACCCCGAAATTGTGACGTCAAAATTTTGTCTTCTAAGGGGATTCGGTCATCAAAAATTGCATTAACAGATTTGTTTTTATAAATTTTTTGCTCAAAAAGCGTTCTTGTCATAAATAATTCGAATCGCTTCCGAACGCAACCAAACTGAAGGTATTTTAGTTTTACTTTACCTTTGTTAATAATTTATTGTATTTAATTATGGATTAATTATTAATGCTGTCTCTTTTTAATACTCAATTAGTATAAATGTAGGCAATAAATTCAAATACACGAAATATACAATAAGTGAAAATTGGCTATACTATCCAAGTGACTTAAGAATAGAAATAGTATGTAAAGATAAGTGAATATCCTTAAACAAAAAAAACATATATATATATATTAATGTATATATTATTAAAAATGTATTGCGTTTTGTATTTAGTCACGAATATTCCGAGATTTTTTAATAGCCTTTTATGACCATTTCAGTATGTTACCCCAGTGTATTATGTTTTAAAATATCAAAATACTTAAATATATATCTCGCGTAGCTAAATATTATAATAAATATATCAAATGCAATAATTTTATGCTTAATATTGCAATATTTTAAATTATTATGACCTAACAATAATAATAATCTAGCCAGTTACAAAATTCAACATCAACTTGACTAATATGGATTCATAGTACTTGACTGTTATATGAACGAAGTACAGTGAAGAACACGTTAGTGGTGACAATTTGACATTGTCAACATCCTTATTACATAGCATTAAGAGTGATATTCGTAAAATAGGTGTGTTTAATATCATGAACAAAACTGTACTTACACCTTATTGCAACCAAGTCTTTCAGAAACATTTGTTTGTTTCAAATAAATGCATAGTTTAAAAGTGTGCGATGATCGACAAATCGCTGAATCTCTTTATAAAATATAATATTTTTACTAAGAATGCGATCCTGGCAGCCAAGAAATTGACACTCTTATGGAGACAGAGTAAAATACACTTAAGATCTAGTAACAAAAAAAGGTCAAAAAATAAACTCGTATTTCTGCCTCCATAAGGAACTGACGTTATCTACCAGAATCGTATTCTTTCGTTATCCGCACTGTATGTGATTGTATGAAATCGTATGTATATGTTAAATCTTTAATAACCTTTTCGTTACCGGAAACAGCTAATAAATTCGACCATGATGTGCAAGTATATGAGTTGTACGTTATAGATCAATTACAAAAGTAATTGAACGAGTAGAGCATTTATGCATATTTAATAGATAGAAGCTACGTCATGTATACGACTGCTCTGTACTCTTGCACTTGAAATATAGGTCTTATTGCTACGTAACAAAGGCGCTGTCAAAGTCAAATTATGTCAACTAAAGCAACCTTGACTGTTCTATGTAGTACGAAATTTAACAAGCGAATTTTTTTACAGTCACTTTAAATAAATCAATCACCAGTTAATGCTTTAAACGTTTTCAAATGTTTGTGTGGAATGTTCGCAATTTATTTTGAACTTTATTTTTAATGAGTTTAAAGTTCAGTTGGTTGTTAATACTTTATATAACCTATATTTATGTATGGGCTGGCTGTAGTTAATGGTAATCGACTTGATTGATAGTAACGCTTTTTATTTTGAAACAAATCAAAAGTTTATATTTTGATCAAATAATGTCTTTAGTCACGGCAATAAACTATTACACTGTAGCCATACAATAAGAATTCGTCACAACGATTAGTTATAACAATAACTTCCATATGGTAACTATACTTATTAAAATTAATGATTCGCTTATATGTGACATTTAATACTATTACTTAATAATTACTATCGAACAATTCAGATATCTTACATAATATAGACATGCCTTTTAACTACTAAAATAATGTATAATTACAACCATATCTATGCGCATGGATTTAATAAAGACAAATAAATAGACAGCTAGAGAGACTTATAAACTAAACCTTATCGCAGTTATGGAATAAGGTTGCATCTTCGAAGCACACAAAACTTAAGTATTTTCCAGCATGGAAAATTGCAATCACTTGTTATTATATTCTAGAAACAACATATAGCCTAACGCACCTCCATGTAGCGTCCCACTAATTAATATAATTCGTGAAAGGGACTTGTCAAAGAGTGTAGGAAATTAGGAATCATTGCACCGCAAAAATTCTCTATTCTACTGCATCGTAACAAAATACACTGGTATTTTGATTAGTTTGGAACAAATATTAATTTTAAAGTGTTTTTGAATACCATTTTGCAGACCAGCTTAATGTGAATGATTGACATTTAAACAGCTGCACAGGCTATCTTACCTTATAGGCCCCACTTACAATTAACATCCAGTGAAGTAAAGATATTTAATAAGAGCTATTTATATAAAAAACAAACAGCTCACTATTTCCTATATAAATGAGAATACGAACAAAATATTCTTAGAATTCATGAAATAAACTAATCAAATATCCAACCATACATTGCCTTACATATTTTGTGATGTTGCAAACGTGTTGTGTCACAAACAAAACATTTCGTTTACAAGAATTTTGTAAATGAAATTCAGTTACCAAATAACATAGCGACAATTATGGTCATATATGAGTTATCTAAATCCTATATACTTGAAGTATTCCAATATACGAGTAATAACGTACTAATGATCAATTTAGTTGGATAAAACTAGTTTTTACGGGTCTAATGCACGAAACTTTATTTATTTATTGACGTTTCGCAGCCTTTTCAGGTCTGCATCGTCAGAATAAATGAAGTTTCGTGCATTGACCCGTAAAAACTAGTTTTATTTAATGAGTGATGTGCGTGAAAACCTAAGAAACAAACAATTTAGTTGGGTTATACTTTCGTCAAATATATCGCTGTCTAATGTGAGATGTTGATTGTTAGCTCCTGGTTCAATATTTATAAATTATGGACGAATTTCATTCCTTTTTTATCACGCATATGACATGCCTCATGGATTTTTTTTTACAGATTAGTCGTTTTTTATGGATTTCAACTTCACGAGTCTCTAAATGTGTATATGTCACCGGCAGTCTGTATAATTCAGGTATTCTATACAAAAGGGTATTTTCCAATTTTTGAAAACTGCTATATATTTAAAGATTGGGACAAACGATTTAACAGAAAAATAAAAATAAATTAATTAATGTTTTTTTTTCTCCATTAAACCAATCAAAAATGAATTTATTTTTAATGGTGTGAATTTACCGCCAAAACGCTCAGTTCAATAGTGTACCTACTGTGTGATGTCAACTTTATGTATGCTATGTAATCAACTGAAGGTCAAATTATTAACTTTGTTTATGTTCGGGTTAAATTTATAGTATAATACTTGCACAAAATAAGTATTTTAAAACAAAAGAAATCACAGATCGTCCTCAGACGACACACACACTCTTTACACACGCCATTGAACCGAGCGTTTTGGTGGTAAATTCAAAACCATTAAAAATAAATTCAACTTTAATTGGTTTAATGGAGAAAAAAGACATTGATTAATTTATTTTTATTTTTCTGTTAAACCGTTTGTCTCAATCTTTAAATATAAGCAGTTTTCAAATATTTGGAAAATACCCTATTCCTAGACTATGAATACACTCTTCAGAGCTGTCATCCGTCGGAATTATTAGTAGATTTGTTTCCTTTTATCACATAGAATCACAGTACGACAAGTTTCCATTGTTGAGTCGATAAGTCTTTCCCTTCTATCGAGTGGTTATTACATTTGTTAGAAAGAAAAAGAGAGACAAGTCTTGGCAAACTGCTGCTATTCCATTCATCACAGTATTAGTAAAATTTTATAGTTATCTCTTAGGTACATATTAGTATAATCATTATTAAGATTTATTTTTAGTAAATGCTAGTTTTTTAAAGATATTTTTTAACTATAATCGGGACAAAGTTGGTATTATTTATTCCTTCTAGTTTAAATCTAGTCTTAATTTTTTTTCTGTAGCTAAATATTTTCAATAAATATACATGACGAACAAAACAATGATTAAAATTATTCCTAAATTCCATTTTTTATTATATTATAAAAAAAACGTGTACCTATTTGTATTACACGTTGCCTTCAACTCATAGAGGCGTAAGTACAAAATGGTTTATTTTTATACTTTATTGGTAAAACGAAACTAGTAACAATGACTTAGCATCTGATTTATTTTCGTCTCGCTTAAAATATGTTTCATGTACGAAATAGTCATGTATAAAATGTTTTACAATAATAACTTTATTTAACTGGCCATTTTATGATACTCACACAAATCTCTTCACGCTCTTATTGGTCGACTGGTAGAAAATGCCTTATGGCATTATGTCCGCCAATTGCTGTATTTTTGCAATAAAGTATAAATAAATAAATCTGTTTACTTATGAAAAAAAAATCATTTAAATACGAATATATGCAACATACGATCGCGCTAATTCAAATCCTACGCAAAACCCGATAAATATATCCTTTGAATATTCATTATGGAAATAAGGTTTCTGGATGTGATATTGAACTCTATTGTTTATTTTAACTAACTTTATCTGTCGTATTTTTTATAATATTCTGTAATCCAGTAATGGATTGTTGTATGTCTTAAAAGCGGACGCGAGTAAAGAGTCATTTGAAAAACAGGTATTTCAAAAAAAGTTGCTTTCGTGCATTGGCAAATACCGTGTGAAAGGGACAACACTAGCTAATGTTGAAAAATGTGTATAAAAATTGCAAAATTTGAGGTTTGGCTCGCGACAATTTCCTCCTCGAAAATTAGATATATGTAAAAGAAATTTTACTCATAGAATAATAAGTATAATACTAGGCCTCTATCTTTTGCTTTTTTTTTTGTTGTTGGTTATTAAAAATTGATTATTTTTGGCATTTTTGAGGGCATCTAGTTTCTTTGAAACACAAGTTATCGGAAAAAGGAAGACATAAGAGCATAGAATGAGTAAAATTATATTTGATGCATGAAAATCATTTCTTTAGTGATAAAAATCAAGGGGGAATCAGCCGAGAACGTTTGTATGGAAAAAACATTGTCCGCCTTCCCTCTTAAGGTAGAAATTTACTTATCTGTTGTGTTATGTCGCATCAGAGAACTATCGGTTTCATACATTTTGTACGTTTAAGAGTGAATACTGTGTCGAAACAGTCGCGACAGATCGCGACACGCATTTATATAATTCGAACCGTACTAAATGTATGAAACCAATACCTCTCTGACGAGTCACGACACAACACGACAAAAGGTATATTTTTGCCTTTATATGCAAAGTAAACATTTGCTCTATACGTCTCTATGGCTTTTAGTCCACGGTATGCTTGTTTTGTTTATATTATAATTTTATATTTATTTATTATTATGAAACATATATTTTCATGTTATGGAATCATTAGTTGTAAACTTTACATATGGAAAAAAAACTTATTTATCAAATTAACTTTTTAAATATAAGATTATATTAACTGTTTTAAATTTACCCAATTTTGAGAAGAATTGGTTTTATCAATAACTTGTGCTCTGACAGCAAGGCCCATGAACTGTTGATGTAATTAGATACCGTTTGTAAAAGTGAGACGACGCTATACAGAATGTAGAGCGCCATCCCGCTTTAGAGAACTTGATTTTGGAGTTAAAAAGGCAAAAAACTTGCCTTTCATTTTGTGTCTTTAATATAGGATACCATTACTTCTTACACAATTCCATTATTATGATAAAATTATTTAGCTTCTATTCATTTCCAATAAATAATTAAAAAAAGCCTAATCAAATTTAAAATTGCAGATTCTGACATCACATCTTATACACTTGTTTTTTTTTTAATTTACATTTCCAATTTACATTATTATATGAAATATAGGATAAATATGAAATGTATCGTTTGTAGACAAATAAATTTATTTATAAATTTAGTTTAATATAGGTTATTCATGTTTGACAATATTTTTGTTGTTGTAATCTTATAGTAGCTGTACTAATTTATATATGCATAATATTTAGATGAAGTTTAAAATTAAGTGCTCAATTAACGCAGCGGTCTAAACGATGTATCCTTATAGTGATTTCTAGTTATTTTGTACTTAAAATGTGAAAAAAGTTTCAGCTGTATGTAATTAATACTTAGTGGAAATATAACATAATTTAGTAATCATTAGAAGTACTTTGTTTGAGGATGTAACTATTCAGTGATTTGAATCAGCTAATTATTAAACTAGCTAATTATAATAATAACAAACGAATCTAGAATGGAGACGCAAGGCACAAAATAGAGATAACAGAAGGTAATCTATGTATAATATCTTCACTTTGCATACTTAAGCTCGGCGGTCACGATAGGTCTGTCAAAAAACTATCATGGAAGTAGACCCTTACCAGGTGTTTGAAACATTGTCAAAAATGAAACAAATGTAACCGGAAAATAAACCAATACTAGTAGTACTATAAAAAAAAGGTTACTAGAAAAAAAAACAGTCAGTGTATTCGCCTGGATAGCGAAGGGTGCGGGTTCGAGTCCCGTCTGCTGCCTGGTCCGCGTGGATTTTTTTTCTAGTAAACTTTTCTTTAGATTCAAACCAATAAAATATTTCAATTTTAAGGTTGTTATATTCCAATTTGAAACACGACAATTCACCGTTTATCGTTGTATTAAAAACAACCGTCTACTGAACTAATAATTAATAACTTTTTTGTTGTTCCATTTTTGTACAAAACCGTTCTTATTCGTGTATCAAGCGGATTAACTCGCGCTCGCAGTGGTCCCAACTGGTCCGAGATATAGTGTCCGTGAGCGGTTTCTATACATGCGTTGCTCGAGCGCACTTTGTACATAGATTACCTTCTGCACTATCTTGTGGGCAAGGCAATGTGGCCATTCGCACATCCTATCATTAACTATCTGTTAAAGGGACAAAGTGTATGTCGATGCCATTATTTTCGATTTGTTTCGTTATTGATGCAAGTTATAAGGAAATAATATCCAAAGAAATTGAAACGTGAAATTCATCATGATTCTAGCGAAATATAAATTTCTTTGGATGTTATATACAGATTTTTTTCTCAAACGAAGCTTATAGTGACTATTGTAGTCTTATTATTGGTATAAATCTTATTTTAAATAGAATAAATTTCAAAGATAGTTAGAGAGGCAGTTTTGGGTAATGACCTGTGATTTTCTGATAACCGTTTATTATGAATCCGCCTTCTTAATTAATGCCGGCACTTCACTTGGCTATTCGTATTTGCTATTCTTAAACTTGACAACAGTCTGTCCTCATCAAACTTTATAAGTATTTGAAAGGACATACTGATGCCGGCATAACAACTTCTTAATGTAACTTAATCGCAATGCTAACTAAGGTAGTTTTCATAAAAAAATGTTTTATAAAAATGCTCTGGTTTAATAAATTCCAACAAATTGACATGTCGTTTATTAAGACTTATTATTAAGGACTTACTGTTTTCCGCAAAAGAACTCGGGGTTAATTTATCTGAAAAAATCACAGATTTTTATTAATTTTGTGTCACTACATGAGTATTTTATATGCACTTGGTAGGTAGTTTTTCTTTCCTTAGCTTAAATAGGCAATCTTTTTTATCGACACACCTACTTGATTAAATAATTTAAAATACGTAATGAGAATCAAATTCAACCTTATGCACAAATAGAA